GTACTGTAGATGCGGGTAAACATAATATGCGGCGAAAATTTGATTGGCGAGCGAGGTTGTCTGCAGAAAATCGGTATATTTGCCCGTATGCGGCAGCGAGCATGGGGCATCTGAATGCTGTAAATCTGCAGTGAGCATGGCCAATCGTAACTACTTGTCATGTTGTGACGACGTTTGATGAATGCATAAAGGGTGGCGATGTTTGTGTTGTGTAATGTCACGTCCATGCGCGTCGATGCATGCAGAACGTGTACGTGGATGTTGGGAAGCACACAGCGGCTGAGGTCTACTTTTGCGAAGGTGTCAATGTCGGTGTCATAATGAGCAAGGCGTCATTCCATTCGTAGGTCTCATAAACTGCACGTGATGAACGCACTTGCGTGGTTTCAAGTCGTGAAATGGAGTATTGGGCGAGAGAGGTCAAAAAATATACGAAAAAAAAAAAATTCTAACCCCGTATGCAGCGAATGCATTCATTAATCAAGATGTAGGACTCATTAGACGAATCGTGATATAATATATATATAATCCAATCAGATGTTCTACCGCAGCTCAGGCGATACACAAGGCCGCTACCACGAACAGGTGGCATGTTGGGCTTGTACAAAGACGCAGTCCATCTCCGACCACACAGGAGCTTGTTCGTATCTGTCGGAGTTTTGGAGGGCCCAAGTCAGTCGCAAGCAGCAGTAGGAAAAGCAGAACAGGCGCAGTGTTTCTCTACAGCTTTAGAATCGAGCTGTTAGAATCCGTCCTCCTCAAATCCTAACGGAGATTTTTGTTTTCTTTGCCCGAGTGGTTTGTACCCTTTTTTGTTTCCGCACGGCTATTTGGGACAACACGTCTAACTCGGCGTAGAAAGCTCGGATCGACCTCAAACCAAGTTTGATGTAATCCTACTGGACACAGCTTTCACGGAATTTTTTTTGAGTCCACAACGAAGCCGGGGCCGAGGAGATAGAGCCTAAAAAAGGGGCTCCTTGTTATGGAGGAAAACGTGGATTTTGAGTCCACAACGGAGCCGGGGCCGAGGAGATAGAGCCTAAAAAAGGGGCTCCTTGTTATGGAGGAAAACGTGGATCTCTCTCTATCTCCTCGGCCCCGGCTCCGTTGTGGAGTCAAAATACATTCCACGTTTTCCTCCATAACAAGGAGCCCCCTTTTTAGGCTCTATCTTCTCGGCCCCGGCTCCGTTGTGGACTCAAAATACATTCCGTGAAAGCTGTGTCCAGTAGGATTACAACAAACTTGGTTTGAGTCCGATCCGAGCTTTCTACGCCGAGTTAGACTTGTTGTCCCAAATAAAAATTTGCGACAACGTTGTCCCAAATAGCCGTGCTGTTTCCCAAAACGACCGGTGGGACTCCCATGGGCAGCCCATGGGGCGCCCATGAGTCACCCATGGGTCAACCTGCCCGTGGACAACCCATGGGACGCCCATGGGCGGCCAATGCGAACCCTTCAACCGAACCAACCCCTAAACAACAGATCAACTGCTTTGGGACGGGCACTATAGCGGCTAACAACCCCAACGCGAACCGTAACCATAGCCCCAAGCCCACACGATACGTACTAGGTTGGCGCTTGCGGCTAAGTTCTAGGTTGATGTGAAGGCAGTTAAGTTCTAGGCTTATATGCCGGTGGTTAACTTCTAGGTCGAAGTGCCCACGGTGGATACTTCATGGACCACCCATGGGCAGCCCATGGGCATCCCCATGGGTCACCCATGGGTGTCCTACGGGCGTTTAAACTAGAGTGTCAGTAATGTGGGAGATTGGGCAAATAGGACATATCATGTGGTGGATTTCTCCGGCTTTTCAATCGCTTTCCAAGTCTCGGGCACGACGCCACAAAGCGACTGCCAGATTTGAAGCCTCAAATCTCCTTCGATGAAACCTTAGGTGTCACCCCCTCAGACCCACCGCTGGCTGACACTACAGGTCCGACCTACCTTTCAGGTGTACCATTTTCCTCCTCATTTTCCATGATGCCTGGTTGGCGGTGGGCTTACAGTAGTACATAGATGTTCTGGGTGCCAGGGCAGAGTCGAGTGTCCGGCATGCAAGGGTGGGTGCGCCCGTCGTGTCACGAGCCAGCAGCGGTTTCGGACACTACAGTATTTGGTCTTATGTTCCACCATCCTCGCAAGCACCCCGTCGCCGCCGAAACACGCGGCTGCGCCAGTCGCCCAATATTCCTCGGTCATAGGCCCTCGAGCGACGGCTTACATATCCGACACCAACAATATTGTTGGCGGGATATGTTCCGTGGGCCAAGGCGTACCGGTGAAACACGAAATTCAGATGCAGAGTACTCTCGGGTTGCCCACTCTATATTGTCGACGGGGGGCAGGGGCGAACGGGTTCAATTTTCCTCCACAGTTGCCCTCATCTGCCTCCTACAAACTGCCCATAGTATCTTTGCCGTGACCGACGTCTCGGGTTCCAGCGGGAAATGTTTGATGTAACGCGCAACACAAACAAGAGATCACTTCACGGGGTGGGGCAGAGGGGTCACCTCGGCGTTGCTCACTTCGCTGCAGAATAATCTCCCTCAAGCCGCGGCGGATACCCTGGGTTTCGTGCGTGGAACGAACAAGTTGCGTTCCCCTTCAACTAGATTTTATGAATAGATATAGAAGTATATGTATAGTCTATGCGGCCGGCCGGTGCAACCGTGCGTTCTTGGGTTTCTTGGCTTCTAGGGCGGTCTAATGCAGAACACGCGTGCGTCGGCGTTCCGCGTTGACCCTTCCAAAGGATACTTTCCTTGAACAAGGGAAGGCATGCGCGGGCAACCAGCTATGGCAACCAAGGGGCCGCTGTCCCGCTCTTCGGCCGCAAGGACGTTTCTGCTTTTTTTCGCTGTCACGACACAAGTGCTGCAGCATGCTGTCGCGACCACAACTTCTTCGTCGAATTGCGGTTTGGAAGACTGCCTTGCCGATGACGTGTGCTCCGCGTGCGTGACGGGGGCGGTTGCTGAGGACGCTGTCAAGGATTCCGAAGTTCCTGTCCACGACCGAGTCGGGCACGACAGACCTCTGCGTGGTGATTTCGGCGGTCGCCTGCTGCCAAGATGCCATCTCCGACAACGAATGCTTCGAGAACGACGACTTCGTTTCGTTCCACGAATGTACTCTTTCGCTCGCCTTCCTAGAGATGGACGGTTAGGACGAGTGCACAGCCCTTGCGTGCAATGACACTATCAGCAGCACCAACGGCAGCGGTGAGGACACGTGCTCCACGACGGCCGCGCCCGCGACCACTCCAGCTCCTCCGGCGCAACAAGCTTATTGACCAGCTCACCTGCGGAGGAGGTAGACACGACATCATCTCCTGCCGCGGTGGACGAAGCGATGGCTCCTACCATGTCGAGGTACCTCAGCACAGGTGATGTCTTTACGAGTGACGACCCATGCACGAGCGTCATGTTGATAACTCCTGGAGCCGGAGTCTTATGCCGGGTATGCCCGTATTTGTGTCCAGTGACTAGAAAGTCTCGTTGATGGCTTGTATTAGATCCGCAGGACTAACGCACGACAGACAGGGGAGAAAGAGAGTGCCCCACGTAGGCTGACGCAGCATGGGGGCACCGCTGACGCATCGAAAGTCTACCGCAAAAGGTACCGCCGTATGTCGCTTCGTCTACGGAACACAGAACCGTCCTCAGATCCTTCCGACATATGCACACACACGAACTCCCTGGTTCCTTACATACGTAATTAACCATCACCGTGTGTTGCTCAACGTGCTCGGACCGGTGTGCTAAAGGAAGTAATGGTCGAACACAAGGCGATCAAGGACAAGCTGGAGCAGGGGAAAGGAAAAGGGGCGAAGGGCGCAGAGCAAGCGTACTTCGCCGACGGTGAGGGCCGCAGGGAGCGGTACTCAAGTAGGAGTCAGGGGCAAGGTCGTGGTCGTGGCGGCGGCCGTGGCCGCAGCAGCAGTCGTGGCCGCGGCGGCGGCGGTCGCGGCGGCCGCTCAGGCGGATCCGGAGGAGTCGAGGAGAGCAAGGGAAGCAGCAGTGGAGGCGCCGATGGCGGCGGTGGCGGGGACTATAGGTTCCCGGGCCGGTGCTTTAGGTGTGGACATCGTGGACATCAAGCGATCGGCTGCACTATCAACGAGAAGGACTTCGTGCCGTGGTGTGCGCGCTGCGAGGGGTGGGGCCACACCAAAGAAAAGTGCGCGACGGAGGAGGCCGTCCTAGCGCAAGTGGTGGATCATGAGAGCGACGTGGACTCCATGGAAGACCAGGCGTTTTGTGCCGTGGCGGTTCCCCCAGCCAACCCCACTGATCTCAACGAGTACCACCTCGCGCACGGCCATGCCCACGAGACAATGCTCGGGATCACGGCGGAGCAGCAGGGAGTGCAGCTGGCGGATGGACCGCTGCTACCTTGTCGTGGCTGTTCGATGTCCAAGGGACAGGTAAAACCCGTCCAGAAGAGCACGAGCACACGCGCAGTTAAGAAGTTATTTCGCGTGTATCTCGACTTGGGGGGAAAGATGAAAACCAGGAGCATTGGTGGCAACTGGTACACACTGATCATCAGAGACGATTTCTCCCGTCGGACGCGTGTTTTCTTTTTGAAACACAAGTCTGACGCAGCGGTTGGGTTTGAGAAGTTCCTGGCGGACTACCGAGCGAAAGGGGTTCCGTGTGAGGTTTATATTGCACGTACCGACGGTGCCGGCGAGTTCCAGGGGCAGTTTGCGGAAGTTTGCCGCAGACACGGCATCAAACAAGAATTCACACCCCGTCACACCCCAAAATACAACGGTGTAGCGGAGAGANACGCAGCGGTTGGGTTTGAGAAGTTCCTGGCGGACTACCGAGCGAAAGGGGTTCCGTGTGAGGTTTATATTGCACGTACCGACGGTGCCGGCGAGTTCCAGGGGCAGTTTGCGGAAGTTTGCCGCAGACACGGCATCAAACAAGAATTCACACCCCGTCACACCCCAAAATACAACGGTGTAGCGGAGAGACGCTAGGGTTAATCACTGATGCCGCGCTTGCGTCACGCATCCAAGCGACGCAACTGTTCCCCGACACATCGAACCACCCCGGGTTGTGGGCCGAGGCCATTTCGTGCGCATGCCATCAGCTGAACTGCACCGCCACTAAATCAAACGAGGGAGACAAATCCGCCTACGAGGTGTTCCACGACTCCCCACCGCCGGTCGGGTCTACGTACCCGTTTCTCAAACCAGCCGTGTTCAAGTCGAGAAGAAAAACAAAGTCGCAACCCAAGAGCGAAAAGGATGGTACCTTTGTCCTGCCCACAATCACCCCCGTGACTGCGTTCGCATGCTAACCGAAGCTGGAACCGTAATCACCACCCGCAATTTCACCTGGCGTCACGTGCCCGCTGCATCGCCCGCTCCCCCTCAGCTGCTACCTCTCGCAGATGACGAGGAGGGCGGGGAGGGCGAGAGCAGAGCGGATGCATCACGCCAAGGTTGGGGCGGGGAGAGGGACTCAGAGAGTGAGTCCGACCTCGACGTGATGGAGGCTCGTGGGCCAGGGCAAGCGACGCCGATTGTGCGGGAGGAGGCACCGACCGCACCCGGCAACGGGATTCCGGGGGACGGAGGCAACGTTCCCCCGTCGCCCACTTCGAGAAGGGGCGACTTCGGCGGAGGCAGTGACAGCCCCACCGACAGCAGCAGCAGCAGCTAGCAGCAGCAGCAGCAGCAGCAGCCCGAGCAGCAGGNAGAAAAACAAAGTCGCAACCCAAGAGCGAAAAGGATGGTACCTTTGTCCTGCCCACAATCACCCCCGTGACTGCGTTCGCATGCTAACCGAAGCTGGAACCGTAATCACCACCCGCAATTTCACCTGGCGTCACGTGCCCGCTGCATCGCCCGCTCCCCCTCAGCTGCTACCTCTCGCAGATGACGAGGAGGGCGGGGAGGGCGAGAGCAGAGCGGATGCATCACGCCAAGGTTGGGGCGGGGAGAGGGACTCAGAGAGTGAGTCCGACCTCGACGTGATGGAGGCTCGTGGGCCAGGGCAAGCGACGCCGATTGTGCGGGAGGAGGCACCGACCGCACCCGGCAACGGGATTCCGGGGGACGGAGGCAACGTTCCCCCGTCGCCCACTTCGAGAAGGGGCGACTTCGGCGGAGGCAGTGACAGCCCCACCGACAGCAGCAGCAGCAGCTAGCAGCAGCAGCAGCAGCAGCAGCCCGAGCAGCAGGAGCAGCAGTGACGCCGGCGGTGCCGGCGGCCCGGGCGGCGAAGAGTCCGACCACCCAGGTGGGGACGGCGGTAGCGATGGTTATCCCGGCGACTCCGAGAACCTCGAGGGGTTGAAGTATGATCCAGCCGACGAGCGCTACCCCCGCGGGCTAGAAGGGAAGAAACTCCTCTGGGGCGCCTCAAACGCTGGCCCGCTGCGCCATGGGCTTGAGAGTGGCCGCACGCGGAAGCAGACCCGGGAGATGCCGGGGCCCGGAGAAACACCGGACCCGGAAGAGGCATTGCTGGCGACCATCCTGGAAACTGGCGGGACGGGGATTGTTGAGGACTACACCTGCAACTCGCTTGTGAAGGGGCAGTGGGACGAGGAGCAGACACGCCGTATGGAGGAGATGTACAGGCGCGAGATGCAGGAGGTGTTAGGCCCGGAACAGCAGGCGTTTGGGGCCGAGGTCGACGCCAGCGGGTCTTCGCAACCACTCCCAGACCCACAGCTAAACATGACCTCGCCAATCGGGCAGAAGCCGAGTGATGTGGAAGCAGTACCGATGACGTACAAGGATGTGATGTGTTCCAAGTACAAGGTTTTCTGGGAGGCGGCCATGACGAAAGAGATAGAAGGCCACGACAAGACTGGAACCTTTCCCAAGGTCAAGGAGCTGCCCGAGGGGCGGAAGGCCATAGGTTCAAAGTGGGCCTTCTCTTGGAGGACGAATGAGAAGGGCCTGATAGTCGACTTCAAGGCCCGCATGGTTGCGCGGGGTTTCTCTCAAATCCCCGACATCGACTTCCACCACTCATCCTCAGCGTGCCCGTCTGCAGCGTTTATCAAGGCGGTGATTGCCGTAGCCACTGAAAAGGGCAAGAAACTCGCTCACTGGGATGTGAAGCAAGCGTACATCCACGCTAAGCTAAGAGAAGAAATATACCTCAGATTCCCGGAAGGCTGTGGTAGCATGTCCGGCAAGGTGAAGGTTGAGCGTGCCCTGTATGGCCTAAAGCAGAGTGGCCGTGAGTGGGGGTTTGAAGCTGCCGATGCCCTCATCGAGAATGGGTACGAGCAGTGCAGGGTTGACCCGTGTGTCTTCCGGAACGTGGTGGATGGAGAGGTCGTAGGTCTCATCGTGATCTACGTTGATGACATCTTAGTGGCGGCAGACGAGGGAGAGCGAGAGGAATTGTTCGCTTCCCTCAACAAGAAGTTTCCGGTGAACGATCAAGGGGAGTGTACCTGGTACGACGGGTGTGCTGTCGCCATGGATGTAGAATATGGCATCACCAAGCTGTCCCAGACAGCATACATTGAGAGTATGCTGAAGCGGTTTGATGTGACCACGACCGCTTTCACCCCTGCTGCCACCGATGCCGACCTAGGGCCGAAGAGAGATGACGAGCCCGCGGTGGATAAGCCTGTGAGGGAGGCGATCGGATGCCTGATGTGGACGAAGCTGACGAGGCCAGACATTGCCCTGCCTCTGAACAAGCTCCAGAAGATCGCCCACTCACCCACCGGGAGGATATGGAACGCGTTTGTGCGGATCATGTCCTACCTGAACTTCACGAAGGACTTCGGCATCACCTACGTACGGGGGTCAGGACTAGACCTAAGCGTGTTTGTCGATTCCAGCTACGCTGACAACGAAGTAGACAGGCGTTCTACGACCGGGCTAGCTGTGACCGTAGGTGGTACCGTAGTGTGTGCATCCACCAAGACGCAGCCAGTGACGGCTCAGTCGACCTCGGAAGCAGAGTATATGGCAGCCGGGGAGGGCGTGAAGGAGGCGTTGTTTGTGCGTGGCGTTCTGTCGTTCATAGCGCCCGAGACGAGTGGGGCGAAGATCTAGGTCCTTGAGGACAACAAGGGGGCTCTCGCCTAATCGAGAACTTGTTCAGCTCAGCGAGGAGCAAGCACATCGACGTGCGGTTCCATTTCATTCTCGAGCTATTCAAGTCGGGCAAGATCACTGCAGAGTATGTTCCGACTGGAGAGCAGCACGTCGACATGCTGACCAAGGTCCTTGGCAGAGAAAAGCTAGAGTACCACCGGGAGGCTCTGATGAACATACCGATGTAGTGTTCTCTTGTTCTGTTTGGGTTATGTGGTGGTTTTAGCACTTGGCATTTATGACCATGGTATGTCACGCAGGAAGCGTTGTGCCGGCGCGTCAGCCGCGGCTGGAGCCTAGAAACGCCGAGAGCGTTGCTTCGGGTGTGTAATCAGCATGACCGGTTCAATCTGTCCTGCCTTGGTCTTGTCTTGGGAAGTGCGGCCGTTGGAATCCTCCGTGATAGCGACGGTTTCGATATTTAGGGCGTTAGACGAAGGTTTTTGATCGGTTGGCCGGGTTTCCCCTCGAGCCTGTTGTTGTTTTGAGTCCCTTTGGTAGATCAGGGGTATCCATGCCCCACGTTAGGTTTGCCATTTGCGTGCAAACCGGGGAGGGTGTTCGTGTGTTTGGATACAGATNCTCTTGTTCTGTTTGGGTTATGTGGTGGTTTTAGCACTTGGCATTTATGACCATGGTATGTCACGCAGGAAGCGTTGTGCCGGCGCGTCAGCCGCGGCTGGAGCCTAGAAACGCCGAGAGCGTTGCTTCGGGTGTGTAATCAGCATGACCGGTTCAATCTGTCCTGCCTTGGTCTTGTCTTGGGAAGTGCGGCCGTTGGAATCCTCCGTGATAGCGACGGTTTCGATATTTAGGGCGTTAGACGAAGGTTTTTGATCGGTTGGCCGGGTTTCCCCTCGAGCCTGTTGTTGTTTTGAGTCCCTTTGGTAGATCAGGGGTATCCATGCCCCACGTTAGGTTTGCCATTTGCGTGCAAACCGGGGAGGGTGTTCGTGTGTTTGGATACAGATTGGTTAGATCTACCGGCAACAACAGAGGGCACGCAGATGGGTCATATGTACACCTTGAAATGATTTCATGTGTTGGGACCCCTCGAACTCCAACTAGGGCTTCACTTCTTCCTACTCCCCTTGCGTGTTCAATACAAGAGATAAAACGTCTTCCCCTTCCAAGGACATATACGAACATCTCGGATCGAATACTTTTCCCGCGATCAACAGGCTCGTGTGTTGTGCCGCCCGCTACAGAACCGGCCCGCACTTAAGAATATGGACGTTAAGAATTTGAGCCTCAAAAAATCCAATTTTTAAGAATTTGCCCGTAAGAACACATGCTCAGATCGGACA